ACCCACTTCTCCACTGTCCATCCCCCAGGGAGGAGGTTATATGTAGATCCTTGTAACGGTTCCCCCTTTCCTCGCACACAGCGACCTATTTCATACTATCCTGGACACCTAGGGGTTGAGCTCAGACGCTGCAAAGGCGGCGACTCCATGTCTTTGGTTGGAGAGCATCCCTGTAAGTGGTCAAACACAGGGCCCTTGACCAGTCAACACTCTTTAAATAAAGAAAAAGCAAACACCTCTCAAATGCCATGTCTTGGCGACTGAGTGGCTTAGATGGTAAGTGCTGAGAGAGTTCGGAGAAGGGTAAGGTTGTTGGGGGCTGGCTGGAAGGACGCTGAACTTGAAACAGGCCTTAAGGGGTCAAGGGGAGTTTCTAAGAAGGCAGGACCTTCCGGAAGTAAACACCCCTGCTTGAGCAGAGGTGGAGCCAAGCAATGTGGCAGAACAACGAGCCAAGAACTGTGGGAAAGAAGACTGTGAAGGTCGGTCAGGCCAGGTTGTGGCAAACCTTTGGCACATATTGTAAAACCACAGTCCCTGCCACCCGTCCATGCTGGCTCACAGTGACCCTAGAGGTCAGGGTAGCACTCCCCTGTGAGTTTCTGAGACTGTAACTCTTAGGGGAGTAGGGAGTAGAAAGCCCCACCTTTCTCCCAAGGCGTGACTGGTGGTTTGGAAGTGCTGACCCCGGGTTAGCAGCCCAGTAGGACACCAGGGCGCCGCCACATGTAGTGACTCCCCAAATTGAGCAAATATTCTGTGACGCAGTTCCCAGTGAGAAAACCCTTAATGTATCTGAGCAGGACACTACCTGCCTGAAAGTATCGTGAGAAGGATGGATCCAGGGAAGGAAACTTGGGTCGGAGGTCAGTTAGGAAGCCCTCGGGGTGCAACAAATGAGGTGGAGAGGGAAGGATTAGGGTGGTGGAGAGGCGAGCAGAGGACAAGGGTTGGCTGGGAGAGAACTTTCTAAAAGGCCAAAGGGCCTGAACTTAATGACTACTGAGAGCAGAAGGGGAAGAGAGAACCAGGGGTGGCTAAGGATGGTGGGCCATGTCCTGGGGGGCCCCAAGAGGCAGCCAGTATGTCAAAACCCAGCCCTCTGCTCTGCTCTCTCAGACCGCAGCATCCCAGGGGCCGCGTAGGCCCCATCCCACAGGGACTGGGTCATTCAAACATCTGCCCCAGGCTCAGCTTGTCTGCTCAGGAGGGGGCAGCTAGCTCCTTTACAGATCGGAAGGATAATTCCTGTCAATTATAATATGTGTTCTATTCCCCATAAACACTTAAATAAAAAATAACTCAAAAAACCAGACTCCCTGCCACGGAGCTGAAGATGCGGACACACAGTGGCCCTACCCGGCAGGGTGGACATGCCCCTGCGGCTTTCCCAGGTGCTCACTCTTTAAGGGGACAAGACAGCCAAGGCTCTCTCTCAAGAGTTCTTAAATAGGGTGTTTTTTCTTTTGCAAAAGTCAGGAAACACAGAAAACTGTAGTTTGATTCTGAATACATGGTTAATCGTGACCCGATTTTGAGGAAGGCCATGCAGAGACATACCTTTGGGAAAAGGAGTCTAGCTGGTGAGTGGCAGGCAGTTTCTGAGCAACCTCAGCCGACGCTGCCTCCCAGCCCACCCATCTTCAAGCACCTTATTCCATGTAGTTCCCCTGGTTCGTTCTGGTGGCTTCTCAGCTTCTACCAGTGGCCCTGGGTCACAGGTGCCAGATCCCCCACCAAGGTTCTTGACCCCTATTCCACTCACTGTGAGCAAGCCTGTCTGATCCTGGCTCAGTTATCATTTGCGTGTTGATGAGGCCGAAGTATCTGCGGCTCTCCCCCGCCGGCCGAGTCCCGGGATCAACCTTTCAGCTGCATGCTGGACATGTCCCCCATAGTGGTCTGCTCACATGCAACGTCCACACAGCTTCTCTCCCACTCGGGTCTATGCAGCCGGCCACCACCTCCTGAGTCTGAGACTGGCCCTGCTATCCCCACAGCGGTCCAGGCTTACCACCCGAGTCTCCCGCCCTTACAGCCTGCATGTTCTGCCAGCGCCACCTCTCTCAGCCTGCGCCATGGAAGGGCACAATGTAGTTTGGTGCTGGTCTGTGACATGTACAGAAATCGAGCCGAGGTTTAGGTGTTTGTAATAGCAGTGCGACAGAGCGGTTTTGTCTGTTGGAACCTATTATTTCAAAGAGGTATATACGTTTTGTTTTCTCATTCTACTTTTCCAGAAGTTCATGGAACTGTATGCTATACAATACAGTAGCATTGCCTGTAAGGCGCCAGGTGGCACAGCGGGGAAGCGGAACCACGTGGCAGGCACAGTAACCCTGTGGGGCAGTTCTGCCCGTAGCGAAGTCACAATTACTGCCAGCAAGGGGTGCTAAGATTCCCCATGGACTGGGAGTAGTGGGTGGGGGTGCTGGGTCCTCATGGTCATTAGTAGAGCACTGGCCTAAGTTTCTCTAGAGCCGGTCCGTCAGTGTCTCCCCTTGTTGGCCCCCACTGCTGGATCCTACCTGCCTCACCCCTAGCCTGAGGCCCCTGGGGTGGGCTAGCTGTTCAGGCCACCTTCCCCATATCCGCTCTGCACAACATGTGGCCCGAGGCCAGGCTGCTTTAGCAGCACTTCCCTGCTGCTCTGAGGGCAGCTCCTTACTTCTGGGAACACATGGGAGCCTCATGTCTAAGCCTTGCGCGTGCTGCCCTCCACCTAGAACCATCTTTCCCCATCCACACTCGATGACTCAGATTGTTCTTTGGGCTGTTGCTCTGACGTCACTTTCTCCCAGAAGCCCTTTGTGCACTGCTCAGTTTGGCTAAGAGCCCTTTCCTGGGGGTTAAATTTGGCCCCAGTTCCAGCACTCCTCGTGCTGTCCTGCAAGCTATACTCCCACCAAAATGCTGTGTCACTTAAGGGGGAAGACCCGCTCCCGGCTGGCTCCCAGGGGAGACTACTGTAAGGGCATCCTGTTCCCGTCCCGTCCATGACCCACGGTGTGCCCACCTCCTTCCCTCTGCACAGGGGCTCTTAGTGGGAGAGGTTGGCTCTCTAGCTGCCCTGTGACTTCCAGCTGTCAGGCATGTTTGGGTGGGGGCCATCAGGACCACCGGCCACGTGCACCGTGAGGAGCACATGCGGGCCCTCTCCCGGGAAGAGCCCCTACATTCGAGCCAAGAGCTAGGCCTGATTCAGGGCCAAGGATCTGCCGCAGAGGCCACTTCGCCCCCTCCTTTACTCCTCTGTGCAGCAAGCCGAGAGGGGAGAGCCTTTCCAGAAAGCAGCCGGGGGCAGGCGTTGCCTGGGGTTAATGTTGCTAGAACCAGGTCTTTCTCTACCACCGTTAAGCTTGGGCACAAACAAGACAAACGCTTACCTGCTTTCAGGAAGAACCGGCTGCCCTTTCTGGTGTCGACGAAATGGGGTCCGAGTGCTTTGAACGGCAGGGAAGTTCTGCTTGCAATCCTGGGCAGCCTGTACTGTGTCCCCCTCCTCTGGCTCAGCGGTCCTCCCTCCTCACGCCCATCACAGCACTGTCACTAGCCCCTCCTCCTCCACTCCCCTGCCGCCCCCCAAACCCTGTGGGTGCTGTACCTTCAAGCAGGCTGGGTTTAGTTCAGAACTCCAGGAGGCTACTGCCCAGCCGGCAGGTGGGCTGCTGTTTACTGGGCTGCTGCTAAGCCCGGGACAAAAGTCCAGGCCGGGAAGATTGGGAGGCCACTCAGAGGCCCGGAGGCCAAACTGAAAATCAATACGGTGCAGACCGGGCAAACGGGACTTGGTCCCAGCAGGTCATCTGCTGCTCATGGGAGTGTGTGTGTGTATGCTTGGTGTGTGTGTGTGTACTCCGTTCTCTGCTTCATTAATTGTTTCCATTGAGCCCCTTTTAAGTTCCTGAAAGGCAGCAGCAACCTGTACTTCTTTCCAGCATTCTCGGGCCTGCCAGGCCCCCAGGCAGGGGATCCACTCTCAGGGGTAGCAGTGGTCGGTCAGGTCCCACCGTGCACTTCACTGTGTGTGTGAGGTGGTGGCTGCAGGCTGATTTGGCATCTTCCCTGCCCCCCAGCAAGTTCCCACAAAGTGGTCCAATTAAGGGCTGTACCCTGGAGAGCAGGCAAGCATCTGGAGCTTGAAGCAAGATGAGGATGTTGACCAGGAGCAGGAAGCTCTGCAGGGGGATGGACCTGGACTCTCTAGCTTTCACCTGACCCCTCCTGCATCCAGGGTCTGGGAAGAGATGAGAAATCAAGATGGACGAGATCCGCGGCGAGAATCTCAGGTTCAAAGTTCAGCACGCAGCTAGTTGACGATGTCACTCACAGGTTCCCCCCATGGCTCTCCCTCCTCCCTCCACAGCAGATGCGCAGTTTACCTGTCAGGACTGCGGAGGAGGGCTACGTCACGGAGTGGAGCAGAGTGGCGACACGCAGGCCTTGGGGGAGCCTACTTCTGAATCTGTTTCCCACTTACTAGCGGTGACCCGACATCACGTCCCTGTGAGGGGGCCTCAGACACGCCTACAGAGCACCTGGAACAGTGCCTGGGACACAGAGTGTAGTCCCTGCGAGTTTTCTTCTCTCTTCTTCTCGTGCGCAATGGAATGCTGTGGGAGGCAGAGCAGGGATCAAAGGGTTTTGGACAAGACCAGAGCAATTACAACAGCCCAGGTAGAGATGAAATGAGTGCCGGCATGCATGTGGACGGACAGACGGGAGCAGGTCCTGTGAAGAATCAATAGGGCTTGGCAGCTGATCGAATGAGGCAAGGAGAAATGTCAGGCTTGAAACGGGACAAAGCAGAGAGCTGATCTGACCCCCACAAGGAGTACCGGGATGGGTGGCTTAGGCAAGACTCACAGCCACCTCACAGGATAGGGTAGAAATGTCCCCCAAGCTTGAGACTGTCGCCCTCTCTCCAGGAGCAGCTGCTGGGACCATGAGAATGTGTGCGGCCACTGACAAAAAGACAAACACCTGGCGAGAGCCAGGAGCCGGGTCTGGGGGATCAGAACTACAGTCTCAGGGGACAGCGGGTCAGTTGGCATTACATAGTTCACAAAGACAATGGTCTACATCAGGGGTCCTCAAACCGTGGCCCGCCG